ATCTGTAATCCCAATTGTATGAATGCTAGGATCACTCCAGCAGTAAAAATACCTGCTACAGCCTACCAAACCTATGAGTGTTAGGGCTTGTTCACACCAAATGCAGACCAGATCTGCACACGCAGTGCACTGTGTTATACCGCGTTTTTTTGCCGTGTTTTTGATGTGTTCCGGGCCCTTTTTGTTTGCAGAGGGCTTTCAGTGTGTTCCATGGTGTTTGCATGCGTTTTTTATGCGTTTGCATGCGTTCCGGAGCAGGAAAAATAGGTCTTGCTGCAGTTTTTTAACATGCTCTGGAACTGAACGCTGCGGTGTGAACTAGAGCCCAAAATACCATTGGAATACATTGGACACAGTTTTGATCCGTTTGCTCTGTAACTGCTTTGCATCTGGAATGCGCTTGGTGTGAACTAGCCCTTAGGTAACGCCGTGGTGCAGTGTACACACAATGAAGGTGTTTGGGATAAAAACAAAACACATTTTTTAATATAGTAAAGAAGGATTCTATTTTCTCAGTATTTAATTGCTGTCTGTGCATTCCCTTCCTGGTAACAAGTGCACCCTGAATTTCTCCAAGGATAGGAAGTGAAGGAAAATCTCCCCAGTGGGGTCAAACAGAAATAAAAGAGAGACATTTTAACTCTTCCTCACTCTGTCTAAAAAAACACCACCTGGATTTATGCTTTAAAGCTGAGCTCTAGCCTTTCCTTTCCTACAGGCTCCCCTTCTTTACTGAAATTGCTTGCTCTGATTTCAGTGCACACTATGAGCTTCTCACTGTGTCACATATAAGCTGCCTCATTTCCTTGCTGGACGACATCCAGCATCATCTAGCCCCTTCTTGCCTGGCCCAGTTGTTTCATTCATTAAATGTTATTTCTTTCAATCATGTAGGCTCAGTGTCACATGTGGGAGGTAACCTAAGGTGTATACATCCAAATGCAGTTTGCCTAGGAACTCCCACTCCTACAGATTGACTCATCTCAAGCCACTTTGATATTTGCATAACTTCTTTCAAGAGCCAGTCCACTGCGTGCATCAGGGCTGAGGACTTTTTGGAGGAGTACTAAGGCAGGGTGCTGTGATGGTTTCAGGAAGGTATGTACAGCCACCTACCAGCCCCTCCCACCAGCCATGATCAACCCACATTGCATAGAGAGGCACGGAGACCCAATTATGACATGACTGGGGCTAAAACAAGGTATGTCATGAAAATAGGAAGGTTTTGTTTAAAAATGTGATTCATATGTTGAGAAGGAGGGAAAGGAGGAACCAGGGAAGGCAAAATATAACCACATTAAGTTTCAGCTTTAACCCAGATTTTTCCTACACTGACTAAACTGGTTTGCTGTGTATGCTATTAAGTTGAATTCCATCATCCTTTATTGGTGACTGATTTAACATTCTGTTCACAGCACAGTGATTCCTGAAATTACAGGGAGTAAACATACAGTAATACCAGATGCACCGAACACTATATTAATATTGGCTTCAGTTCGTTTTGGAATGTTGTGCAAGTCTTAAAGAAGACCTTTGGGCAAAACTTTTATTAACCCTTGCACTGGGGCTACCCACGCACTGCAAGGGTTAACTGCTTGTTTTTGTCTAAGTGCTAAAATACAAAAACCGTCTGGCAGTCACAGCGCTCCTACCAGCCTGTCTCCTCCTGCACTGCAGTGATGGCATGCCCCTCGGCGTCCTCGCATCCATTACATAGTTTTTTGGACGTGATGACCTGAGGATCCTTAGACTGCTGCATCAGAGGGGGAGCGAGGCTGGAAGGATGGTTGTAAGAGCATGACTTAGAGAATCGCTTGAGTATAACTTTTTTGTTTTATCACCTAGACAAAATCGAGCAGTTAATCCTTGCAGTGCCAGGGTAGCCCCACTGGAAGGGTTAATAAAAGTCTTGCATGGAGTGCTTCTTTAAAACAAAGAGGTCCTAGTACTTTTATGGATAAAATATGTATCTAGAAATCCACTTAACCTCCCTGGCGGTCTGATTATTTTTTCCTTTTTTTGTTCCGTGTTTTTTTTTTAAATTCCTGCCGGTTCCTCCCCCCCAAATTAACCCCGAGCCACACTCGGCAATACCGCCAGGAAGGTTAAAAGAGTTCTTATGTTCTCCTGTGACCCAACGTTGGCATATAGTGTGCTAATGCCAGCTACATTATATGCTGACAGCGGTAAGCCACCCTACAGCCAGGAAGGATCCCGACAATATTGTTGGGATCCATCCGTCTCCATGATTGACGGCTGGCTCTGCCTCTCTAGAGCCTGCTGTGCCCGCCCCTCCCATGTCTTTCTGTCCATTGAACACTGAATGAGTAAAGAGGGGAGGAGGGAATCCCTGTGGGGAGTGGGGAGTGGTGACTGTCTGGATATATAGAGCTGGTGCTGCAGTGTCAGACGCAGGCTCTAAGTATTGGGAAGAGTATTGGAAATAGTATATTTTACTTTCCTAATACTTCTCCTTTGAAGACTTCATAAATGCTTACATTGGGCCCACTAGTCCAATTTACTTTACATTGTATATGTGTTTTGTTATATGCTGCGATCATTTTTTAAAATGTTCTCTTTGACTCATTACTGTGACCTATGAAATCCCATATATTAAAGCCTTTCTCCAGGTGACACTATGTACTGTGATTAATGGTGTGAGTGTACTGAGGGGAAGGGGGAGGAATTATTTAGAAGGCGACCTCTGGAGATGTGACTAAGGGGTTTCTTAATTGACTGGAGGCATCAAAAGAAATATAAGTAAAACATTTGTATTTGTTTTGAACAGATGACGGAGGGGGATGCGGGGGCTGTGAAGTACCTGTGTGTACTGGCTGTCATGCCCCCTGTCATCTGCGCTCTCAGTTGCAGTCTCTTTTGTCCAGCATTGTCGGATAGCGCTGTTGTGAAGGGAGGTATCTGATAATACTACAGTATATCATTGTTGCCTCTCCCCTATTAATGAGCTTTTTTACTGCTGTTCTACAGATAAAAGGTAGTGAGGTATAAGACATCTTTGGCAAAACAGCAGTTAGGCAGAGGTAGAGTGGTTAAACACATACACACAATTTTGGACACTCCCTGTGGCCTATCCTGATCTGTATTTCACAGGGTTGGAACACCCGACACAGATATTTCTGTTATTGGTCAACACTGTTGGTCTGTCATCTACCATTGCCTTCATATATACATTTTGGGGATGTGATTTTTTTTTTAGGCCTTTAATGGCAGATGTACTACTTTTGATGTGGTGATTTTGGTGACAACAACAGGTTTACTGGCAATTTAACCAAACAATATGTGCCCGAAACTAAACTATCTGACACTTGAATATTGCTGCTGTTACTGTGCACCACCGCAGTCTACGATGATAAAATAGAAGTCCTTAAAGCTGTTTACATTTTTGTGTAGAGGTAGACTTTCAAGGCCCTCTAAAACATTACCACTGCAGTATAACTAATAGTATATCTATTATAAAACTATTGCTGGTGGTTGTTTGAGTTCTTAGCAAATATTGCCAATTAGTAGACAATACCTTTTACAGTGTCCAAACTGTCTGTTATGATAAAAGTATTTGCTGCTGTGTAATATTATTAAAAACATAAAAGAGAATAGCAACTATTACTTAAATAAATTAAAATAATTTTTGAAAATGGTAGTGGGATGACAACCCAGAACCTTCACTTTAAAAGCAGAACTGTTGGTAGATATAAAATACCTTCATTTGGTCCAATTTTATGCTGTGTAACCATACCAAATCTTTTTATATACTGTATATTACATAATACCTCAGTTTCCTATAGATTTCTGCATAGCATGATTCAGGCTAGGACTGTAAGGGGCAACATGTAAGCAAATTAGGCTCTACTATACTGTGAAGTTCACAGGCATCTGGCCTTTATATTGGGCAAAGCACAAGGTTTACCTCATCTGTGTATTACTGCTCCTTCATTATCCAATCAGAGGCAAAGACAATCTTTTTTTGACATTTTGACATCCTTTTTTATGCATAGTGTACTATTCTATGCATAGTGTACTATTCTGGCATCTGCTGGTAGGAAAGAACTCTTGTGCACATACGCAGGTGTTATGTCATTCTGGCATGACCAATCAAGATAACCAAAGATTCCAAACCAAGAAAAAGACAAGACAAAAATGTTGGTGATGGCGAGGAAACTTGCAAATGACACATCATTGGAGGGGAGGCTTCTGCTTTATGCATTTTAGTTGTGAAGTTAGCTGTTTGTCTAGCTCCATTTTTCTAACCACACTGGTGCAGTTTAAGACCTGGCTACATCTGCCCAAACTTCTCACTTCTCACATCAATTTCCCACAAGCCTCACATTTTGTAGTGCCAAAATTGTTAGTTAATATAAGGAACTACAATTGTTTTAAATCATGGAGTCCCTTATTCTAGATGGTTTTTATTTCTAGGATGAAACTCCTGGTCTATATTTAAAGCTGAACTCCAGTTAAGCAAATATTGTCTAAATGCAAGAGGCATGTTCTTTCATACTTGAGCTTTGCTTTGTGCATTTCTTCCAGATCAATTCAGTATGAAACTTTTCCTCTGTGCTGGAGCTTCTGTAATAAAGACCAATGACTGCTGCTCTCTCTCTCATTGTGCAGGGTGACTGGTCTGGTATCCGCCCAATCCTCTAGTTTTCTACAGGCAGGCTGTAGTGATGGAAGCTACTGGGGCTTCCCACAGCTCTGCTCTCCGCATAGGCTACACATAGCATAGTGATGATGTTACTCCTAGTAGTGATGTTAATTATAGATTTACAAGGTAATATCTAAGTTAAGAAAGGCATTTAACTCAAAGTGGATTCATAGCGAGTTCAGCTTTAAATGTTGTCTACATGTTTAAAATTTTACCTTTTCATTAGCCATTTATGATTACTTGTGAAATCTCAAATGTTACAAAAAATTGGAAATTGGATGCCTTTCTTTTGTGTTGATACTTTATTCTTACATTTCAACATTTTGTTTTTTGGCAGGATGTGAATCAGACGTGGAACACAAATAATCCTGACTTCTCCTGGTGCTTTCATAAAACTGTTTTGTACTGGATACCCTGTTTCTATCTATTTATCTCTTCTCCATTCTACATTATCTACCTCCAACGCCATGGCCGAGGTTACATAAGGATGTCATTGCTTTCTAAAGCAAAGACTGTAGGTATTCTTTAATGCCATTTTACTAACTGAGCTTCCGTTTGAACTGTAGTAAAGTCAGTGTCCTCCTTGCAGCATAACTTTCTAGAAGACTGTATAATAAAATGAATCTTGTGTTTACGTATACATCGTTACCGAAAGGTCTTTCAATTTTGCTTTACACCAATTTGACTTTATAGGCAGATAGTTTTACTGTAAGTGTACTTATTCAGCTAATTGAGAAATCTACAGCCACAAGTGTACACAAGTATCAGAGCATGACTATGCCTATGAACAAATAAAATATTTACACAGATTAAAAAGGTACATAATAACACTTATTGCCAATAAATAGCAGTAAAATTTAATCCATGTATACTAACAAACTAATATTCACTACTCAGAATAGAAAACAGATAGTAAAAAAAAACCCTAAACAATTCTACCCATATATTAACAGTAAAAAGGTAAGAAAGGAGCAGATAGGCCCAATAAAGGACGAAAACGGGAAGTTACTCACAAGTGACAAGGAGAGGGCCGAGGCGCTGAACAATTTTTTTCTCCTCAGTATACACTCAGGAGGGAAACGGGTTCGACGTATGTGATAAAACACATAGTTCAACCGATAATATACCGCAATGGTTGACGGAAAGCGGAATAGAACATAGACTTAAAATGCTCAATGCAAATAAAGCAGTTGGAGCAGATAACCTTCACTCCAAGGTACTTAGGGAACTAAGCCAGGTTATAACAAGACCATTATTCCTAATTTTTAAGGAATCCTTAGTGACTGGTAGGGTACCATGTAATTGGCGGAGGGCTACGGTAGTCCCAATATTCAAAAAGGGGGCTAGATGCCAACCAGGGAACTATAGGCCGGTCAGTCTACCATCGGTAGTTTGTAAACTGTTAGAAGGTATAATTAAGGACTATTTGGTAAAATTTGTTAAGGATAAGGGCATAGTTAATGACAATCAGCATGGGTTCAGGAAAGACCGTTCCTGCCTGACTAACTTGCTAACTTTTTATCAGGGGGTAAGTAGAGATATGGATGGAGGGAGGCCGGTGGATGTGGTATATCTGGATTTCTCAAAGGCATTTGATACGGTACCACACAAGCGCTTACTTCACAAGCTGAGGGCTATGGGCATAGATGAGGTGGTGTGTACGTGGATAGAGAACTGGCTACGGGAACGTGTCCAGAGAGTATCTGTAAATGGCACCTTTTCGGACTGGGCTAGTGTAATGAGCGGTGTGCCTCAAGGATCTGTGCTGGGTCCGATACTGTTCAACCTATTCATTAATGACATCGGGGAGGGAATAAATAGCCATGTTTCCGTGTTTGCAGACGATACAAAAATAGGGAGGGTACTAGAAACGGATCGTGACAATATAACATTGCAGGAGGACCTGGATAAAATAGGGGAGTGGGCAATACTATGGCAGATGAGGTTTAATGTCGATAAATGCAAAGTAATGCACTTTGGACATAAAAATAAACAAATAGGCTATACAATCATGGGTATGCCACTAGGGAAGTCAGAAATAGAAAAAGATTTGGGGGTCATTGTAGACCACAAACTGAATGGTAGCTTGCAGTGCCATGCTGCGGTAAACAAAGCTAGCAGGGTCTTGTCCTGTATTTAGAAGGGGATGTATTGCAGGGACAAGTCTATAATTGTGCCTCTATATAGATCGTTGGTTCGGCCACATCTGGAGTACGCGGTCCAGTTTTGGTCGCCGGTACTGAGAAGGGATGTCCTTGAACTGGAGAGAGTCCAGCGGAGGGCAACCAAACTAATTAGGGGAATGGAGGACCAGAGCTATGAGACAAGGCTTCTGACCTTAAACATGTTTACGCTGGAATTAAGGAGATTAAGGGGGGATATGATTTTCATGTACAAGATGTTCAATGGTGACAGCAACATTGGCAACAAACTGTTTGAGATTAACTCCATTACAAAGACTAGAGGCCACCACCTAAAGTTGGTAGAGAAAAAATTCCAGCACAATGGGCGAAGAGGGTTCTTTACAGTAAGAGCGGTTAAGGTCTGGAACTCACTGCCATCGGCAGTGATTTCAGCCAAGAGTGTAGATTTGTTCAAGAAACGTTTGGACAATTTCTTGAGGGACCGTAATATCCAGGGATACCAGTATCCCTTAGAATGAGATGATGCGTGGACCTATATGGGTTGGACTTGATGGACGTATGTCTTTATTCAACCCCAAATACTATGTAACTATGTAAAACTATACAGATAAATATGAATATAGATATAAACACCATGGGAGCAATCTGCATGTTCACAAACACCTCAAATGTTCAGCTTGTGAGGAAATAAGCACTAACCACTATACAGAGAAAATTAATAAACTCTCTGTCTACATGATATGTAAAAAAAAAGTCACAAGAACCTCCTTGTTACTTACAGCTAAACTGTTGCATAAGGTACATAAGGATTTGGCTCCAAAAGAGGGATGGTAGGGAGCTAATATATATTCACACACATCAATAAAACAGTTTTTAAGTTAATTGGCTTCCTAGCTCCTAGGAAGAAAGAAATATATAACATTTTGTTTAAGGTCATGCAAATGAAGGGCTTGCTACAATCTATGACCTACTATAGTGTTCTCTTTTTCTGCAGCTCGGTGACTCACTGCCTTAACATAATCACCTATGAAAATTCTATAAAATAAATCAAGCCGTACATTTACTAGAATCTGTCAAGGACAAAGCATATTCTTTCCATCATGGAACCATTTAACTTTAAGCAATAAAGCATAGCATGTATGTTTGCCTTTCTTTGTGTTCATAAAACAGAGTTCTCTGTATATGAGACCCATGCAGGGCAATTAACTAGTAAACAGGGCTGTTACTAGAATGATCAGGCTGGGAATAGGAGCTGGCCTATACTTCTCTGCTTGGTACTGTCCTGGGTTCATTGTGACTATAAAAACAGTCTTTACATGAAGCAAGCTCCCAGCTGTATGCATCCCTTGGGGTTTGGCAGTGATTTGAACACAATTTCTGCTTTAAGGTTGAGGAAACAGAATGATAAAATATTCATAATACCAATCATAAATACTGTAAAGGCCTATTCACACTATGGCATTGTGGTAACACATGTCTTACTGCAATGCATGGTACATGCGTTTAACAACTTGCTGTCCGGGGCAATTTCTTACTATTTGCACACACATGATGAAATCTGATTTTTTTGCTAGAAAACAGCTTAAAACCCCCAAACAATTACTGGGTATATATTTTCTGAAAGCAGAGGCCATGTAGATTTAAAAAAAATGCAAGTTGCAAGTTTTCATGTCGTACGGTATTTGCGCAAATGTTTATCAAACCAGTATTTTTAGGATAAAATACACTAAAATTAAATTTAGTGCATAGAAACAGAATATAATACCCAAGTTTATGGTAGAATATAAAAGACGGGGCCACATCGGGTAAATAGATACCAAACATGTTAAGCCTTAAAATTGCATTCGCCCGTGAAGCTGCCAAAAACTCCAATACCCAAAACTTCCCATAGGGGACATTTTAAAAGCTTTTACCGCTCATCAGTGTAGTGATAACGGTGACTAATGGCTCTAAAATGATTGCTCTCACTCTGACGTTTGCAGCGATATGTAACATGTGTAGCGCAATTTTTGTTTTTGCACGTAGGCGCATCCGCGCGCGTTTGTGTTGTATGTGCGTGCACGTGGGGGGCAGGGGACTTTTTTTTTTACTGTTACCTTAACCAGTTGACATCCGGGGTGTTAAACCCCCTTCCCATCCAGGCCATTTTTCAGTATTCAGCGCTGCGGTACTTTCACTGACATTTATTCCGTCATGCAGCGCTGTACTGAAATGAATTTTATACCCTTTTTTGGGGACACATAGAGCTTTCTTTTGGTGGTATTTATTCACCACTGGGGTTTTTATTTTTTAATATATTAAAGAAAAATGACAAGGAAAAAAAAACAGTTTCCCCTATATTAAATTCTAAAACATTTATAATTACCCAATATTTTGGTAAAATATAAAAGACGGGGTCACGTCGGGTAAAGAGACACCAAACATGTCAAGCCTTAAAATTGCGCATGCGCGCGAAACCTCAAAAAAACTACATTACCCAAAATTGGCCATAGGCGACGATTCCTGCCCGTGCGGAAAAAAATGCCGTCTGGACACGGCAACCCGCTGATGCGAGTCTGCCGTCCGTCCATTTTTTCTTAACGGGCGGACGGCAAGAGGTTAATGTTTTTACATTTTAAACACTTTTTTTTTTTTTTACACTAACTTTATTGCTATCACTAGCAAGCTCCCTATGTAATAGCAGACAGGCTGTGACAGGTCCTCTTTATGGAGACATCAGGGGTCTTTCAGACCCCTAATGTCACCTAGGGACCCCAAAGAAGCTGAGGAAGCAGAGATCTGCTGTAAGAGCCAGATAATGTACACAGTGACACCGGAAGTGATGTAATGCACATCACTTCCAGGTCCAGTGATCTGAGGAGGGTCAGCAGCTGGAAGCCTGCTGATCTCTCTCCGATCATTGCTGGGAGATCCGCCATGCCGGTCCTGGGCCCGCACGGGGGACAGTGAAGCCCGGGGAAGCCGGCAGGGGGTGGGGCAGCGCATTCCTCGGATGGGTACAAACGATTCGGCGGCTGTATAGACGCCGGATCGCTTGTATCTTAACAGCCATCGCCGGCTGTTTAAAATGACAGCAGCTGTGTTCTTGGTACAAGCACTTCTACGGGCCGCCGTATATTTACAGATTGCAGCCCAGAAGTGGTTAATCTTGGTGCCCCAACCCTGAGTTGGCAATTTCTATATTTGGTTGATGTTATGTGGTGCATTTCAATTAGAATGGCGCTCCAACGCACTTTGCATCCTGATATCTGTTGCAGCATAATGCACTAATGTGCAATGGTACATGCACCTTTTTTGGTGGGATTTGGTGTGTTAGACAGCCCATTTATATGAATGAACAGCCTTACTGCAATGCACATTAGCCACATTTGCTAACACACTGCAATGGTGTGAATTAGCCCTAAACAATTGTGTATTTATGTTTTCTGTGTAATTGGTTTTGTACTGTTCTTAAGAATGACCTTGTTCATAATACTTCTTTTTTGTTTCCTTTTAGTGTCTTGCTGCATTGCTGGTGTTAATCTGTTATACAGACCTTTTCTACACTGTCTGGAATTTGACACATAATATCCCGGAACCACCAGTGCTCCTTATCAGTCCACTAATCGTTGGAGCCACAATGGTAATGAAAAGCACACTGAATTCTTTACGTATAGCTTTTACCCATGTTATGTTCAGTAAAAAAGGTTTACGCATGGAGACCGTCCCCACATCCCCTTCCTATTTTTTAAGTCTGTAGGAGCAAATAAGTTTTCTCATTTTGCAGCATGGCCTCTTTTAGCCCATCCTCCATCAGTTTGTAACACGTTTTCATAAATTAAACAGGTGATGCTAGAAATATGGAGCTGCTATTGCTGAATTATCATCATTCTTATTCTGGCTTCACTATCTGGTGAATTACAGACCAGAAAAAAAGCATGCAACCAGAGAAATCAGAAAAACCTGAGCACACACCCTGCACATTTTTTCCGGGTAGTGACTCACTACATACGAAGACTAAGATCAGGATTGCAGCCCTAAACCTGCCCCTTTAAAGAAACTCTTTCTCGATACAAAAACAAAACCCAGTAAAGCCATAGCTGTAAAAGAAGAAAATACTTTTCTTTCCTGTTACCTGTGCTGCTAAACACCACTCTGATGCCATAAATGTGTCACACGAAGTCCATTGGGGAACCAAGACTTCTGGGGCAAATAATCTTCTGGGTCTCTGCAGCGCTCTTTGGTTCCTCCTTCTGGCTGGGTTCACACCATTTTCCGGACCAGATCTGGAACATAGTGCATTGCATTTTTGCCGCGATTTTGCCAGGATTGGAATTTTTTTAAAGTTTTTTTTTTTTAGCTTAAAATGGTCTTACAGGTGCTTTGCAGATGTTTTTGATGCATTCCAGACCAGACAAAATAGGGCAAGCAGTATTTTTCTGGTCTGGTCTGGAACGGACTGTGCTGACCAGACCAGAAAATAGAGGCCAGAAATAGCATAGGGATAAATTGGGATGCATTTTGGGTCCGGAAACAGTCTGCTCTGGTCTGGAGGTAATCTGGATGTGGTGTGAATGGACCCTCTAACCTTCACATTAATACTGTATTCTGTAATGCGTGGAAGTTAATGGGAGGGATTAGTGAGAGCTGCGGATGATTCCAAAGCATTGGATGGGTGTATGATAGTGTGGGCAGCAGGAAAAGTAAGTAGTTACTGTCTTCTTATACACATATGACTTTGCTGGGTCATCCATGGCAGCTCCCATATTTCTACCTGTGGGAAATACAACAGCATATCTTATGTCTTTTGAGCTGTAGATGGCGCTGTAGTGCAATGCTAGCCTATGCTATCCTGTATGTCCATACTTATCTATGATATATACAGGAAGTTCCCTCTATGCTGTATAATGCTGTATTCTGATGTAATGTTCTCATAAGCAAGTAAAACTTAATTCAGTATTCCTCAAGATCTCAGTGCTTCATCTAAACACATAACCAACACTACCCACACAGGATTCTTTAAATCTAAGAAACCATATCAGTTTTCAGCTGGAGCTTTGTGCTATATTTCTCTGATATCTATACTACCTATCACCATGAAAAATTATTGTGAAGGTGTAGCACCCCCTGACGTCAGGAGGCAGGGGGAGCAGACATTTTACCTCTGGGATAAGTCCTTAGCCGGTATGTGAAAGCAACAGTCACTTCAAGGATTTTTCTAATGGTTTATTACATGAACTGCAAAAATAAGTAGAGAGGGTTAGGGCTGCAGACATCTCGAACAATACAGAACTCCAGACTCACCAACTACTTTCCAGCTTCACAGTGTAAAGGGCCTTTAAACAGAAAATATGGAGACACTGTGTCAGAGAGCCCTAGCTGGCTAGCAGGCATGTATGAGATCTCCCCTGGGTGAGACACTAGACTTCTCCAAGCTAGTCCAAGCTCATCCTGGTTTCTCCAGCAGAGGAAGTTCCTCCCTGGCTCTCCATCCCAGGAACAATTCCTGACCCTGGCTGGGTGCACACCTGACCACCTGCAGACTTTAGGCCTGGTCAGACAATTTACACTGCACACACCTTCACCCAGGCAGGAGGCCCGGGAGAAGACCTAGCATATGGCCAACTCCAGATATTTTTGTCCTCCCCCAGCATGTACCACTGGCCATGAAACTCCTAGTGATTGGATGGAGAGACATAGATATCCATAATGCCCCATTATTGGTATCTCTGTTCTAAGACTAGGTCACACCCAGCAGCAGGCAGATGCAATCAAAAATAGAAGACTTGGGGATAACCAAATCATTACAGACTATACAATCAGCTAGACTGGATACAGTCCTAGCACAACCAAATTTAAGCAGTCACCCCACTTAGGGCAAGGTGGCTATACAGGATTTCAGTAACATCATTGCACATGTAGCTAGGAGAAGCTGTCACTGACTAAAGCTGGCCATACATAGGACAACTTTTCTCTGGATTCTGATGAACTGGCTGAAATTCGAGCCATGGGTGGTACTGTCTGCACTCTTCCACTTGACAAAAGCTGATTTTTCAATTTACTTTTCTCAAAGAAGCCAGCCTGAAAATGTTTGGCCAAAAAGTGCCTGCATCCAATCACATCTCAATACCTGGAAGCAGGAGATTCGGTCAACTCCCAGCAGAATCTGATTTTTTTTTCTATTCAGCCCATAGGCTGAACAAAAAAAATCTATTAGTGTATGGTCAGCCTAAGGCTTCTGGATGTCTTTCTTCTAGACATAAGCAGTAAAGGTGCCCTAGCATTTAGTTTTGTTCCCATTGACTCCTTACAGTCACTTATGCCATGACTGCAGCAAACTTAGCCATCGTCTTCAGCTTTAGTTAATTAACAGCTACAGTGCAACTCTGTAGACAAAACTCAAATAATATGTCCCAATTTCTCTAATTCCTAGCAGCTCTCCATAATAATATTACCAATATTAAGCAACTGTATAGATGTTGGTGTCTTGCCAGGAAAATAGAGATAAAGACTTAATAGAGTGAATGAAAGCACTATTGATGTTAATCTCTTGCATTACCAAAGGGTATTTTCCTTACTTTATTTTTTTGATTGACAGCTTCTCGCTGCCTGTCTTATTCAGTTTGAAAGAATGAAAGGTGTGCGGTCATCGGCTCTCCTGTTAGTGTTCTGGATCTTGGCTCTAATATGTTCAGTCTTCCAGCTTCGAACTAAGATCACAACTGCCCTTTCACAGGTAAATATAACATTTGTTACTTGTAAAGTCAGGAAGAATAACTGAGTTTTTAGAGAAAGTTGCAATAAATGTGAAAAACAGTGTAACTAAAGTTTGAAATCTTCCTTTACTGAACATCCAAAATTGTTTACAATTTAACTTTTTTACTGAGCTGAGAAAGACCAGGATGCTTTTCTTAGGAAAAAACATCCATGGTTTATCAGTTTCCTGCACCTGTGTTGGGTGCATTCCTCCTAATTTTCAAGATATTACATTTAATGGGAAGAATCTGGTTCAGGGCCTAACTTACTTACTTCCATGCTTGAGATGTTCTTAGTTAAGAGTGATTTCTGTGAATGGTGCCCCCGTTCGCACACATGTCCAGTGTCTTGTTGCCATGGGAGAAGTTTAGGTATTTAGGTATACCATGACTCCCCAGACCAAATTTTTCTAGAATTTTCTGTTGAGGAATACTTTTGAAGGACAGGGAGTACCAACATTCCATAGCAGCAGCCCTGATTCTCAAGCAAAACAAAAGGAGAGAGACCGAAGCGCAACTACCTAGCGCAGAGATTAGGGTGTAGTTGGGAACGGAGTATAGGAGTATGGATAGTCTTAAAATCACTTCTGGGGGTCGGACATGGGCTCCAATTATGGATGCATCATTAAGCTTGTGATGCTGTTGCGTGTAGGTGCTTTGTTGGTCCTCAGTGGTGGTGGCGATTGGAAATGTGTTTTTTCAACTCACCATAAGGTTATCAGTGATGCGATCTCAGCGACGTGGGTTCTAAGATGAGTGGGTTGTGGTCCTGGGAGCGATGTGATGGATGAGTCCAGATGTGTTGGATTGGTTGTGATGTGGGATCGACGGTGTGGGTCCTGTTAATGGTATCCTTGAAGGTGATGTGGTGGTTCAGTAGAAGTCCTGGAGGTGGATGAATCACTCTGGCATTGAATAAATGAACATCAAGATTTGAATGTCATCTTCTGAGTGCTGGTGATCCTCATTTTCTATGGATTGATGTACAAGGCGCCAACCGTGATTATCACTACAAGCACCGCCATTGCTATTGGTCCTACACGATGTAAGGAGTGCAGGGGGACACATCTGCATACAACGCTGAATTATTAGTATCTCAGCTTGTTTTTTTTTGTTTTTTTTATCTGAACTCCAGAATAGTATTCACTTTATGTAACACAGTGAAGCAGAAAAAACCTTATTATAATAGTAGGTACTTACATGTCATTACCTTTATACCCCAGGAGCTAACTGTGCATCCAAAATCCCTGGTTTATTAAACAGGCACATTCTATTTCCTATGGCTCTGGATGCACTGTTGGATCCTGGGCCACAAATATATTATTTTCATGGCTTCACCTAAATTAGTATTAAACACCTTGGTTGGATGGAATGAAAAGTAAATACCTTTACACAGCCATTTTCTGGAGTGCTTGTGGTTCCTTCCGGGTCCACCTTGCTAGAACCTTTCAGGTTATTATTTTATTGTAATGCATTGTAACTCTATGTCCTCTCTTTTGATTTGTGCAGACAATGGAGATTGACAGGATGCGCTACACGCTTTTCATGTTGTATTTGGTGCTGGTGCTGTTTCAATGCATTCTGTCATTTTTCAGTGATCAGCCTCCATTTTTCTCCACCATGAAGAATGAGTTGGTATGTGACTTGTATTTGTACTTCTTAGTTTTCTTTACTTCATAGTGTATGGAATGTACATTTTGTTAAAAAAGAAAAAAAGCAGACAGGATGACCTAACAACACTGTCAAATTAGAAACTTTAGATACCTTATCTTAATATCAACCACAGTGTTTCTATCAGGAAAGGTTTCTTTTAGCAGTCACTCGTCACAGAATGCAGTTAAAACTGAACTCCTGGTTAAGTGAAAAAATTACCCCTGTGGTGGGACCTCCCCCGCACTGCAAGGGTTATTTAATTTATTTGCTTGGTTTGTCTGGGGGTCGAAGAATAAGCAATTATACTTACGGTTTACCTTTACCTTTTACTTACCTTATTCCTCGCTCCCTTGGCAGCCGGCGCTCTCTGACGCTCAAGAATGTGGCAAGGTCTTTGCTGTCCTTGCGTACAATGCAGGACACCTAGACCAGCATTGTACGTGATGATGTTGGAATGCCTCAAAACTGGCGGAGCTGAAAAGGGGGACCGTTTGTGAAGTGTGGAAGAAACCTATGGAAGTGGGTAAAATGTAAATATAAGGCAAATTAAGGAGTTCGCTTGATAGGTCACCTGCTCCACTATTAACACTTACCTAATGTGCATCCCAACAGTGGGGCTCTCTTTGTGTTACTCTCTGTAAGTTTGCATCTAGCAATGCCCCATTTTTCAGGAGCCATGTGTGCTTTACGGTAATGTGTCCTTATTATTTTTGCACCTAATTCCGCAGCTGTTATAGGTTCCACTGGTATGAGCAAATGGGGTTGATTTACTAACCTTATAAACACACCACGAACGTGTATACACCTCTGCAGTGTGTTCCCTCCCAGCATGATCTATGGGTGGAATCTAAACACCTTTGTAATGTGTACACACCCAGCAGGTGTGTTGTGCAAAGCCCTGAAGGAATTCCAAGGTGATGTTGGGTAAATTAGCTCTATGTTGTGTTGCTTGCGTTGATGAATGCAAGGAATGTAAATGCATGAGCTAACCATTTTTGTCTAAACTGTGAAGCAGCATTATACAGATACTCCTCGCTTAACGACTTACCTGTTTTGCGACCACTCGCACTTACGACCGTCCTCCGAGCGACCTCCGACCTCGCGCGTCAGCGCTAGTGCGACGTGTCGCCGGGGGAAATGACGTCCTCCGTTCTTCACAGCGCGTCCCCGTGAGTATTTTCATTGCCCGATGTACAGTACACTGTTCAGTACTGTACATCGGCAACGCTATACAGTACTGTACTAATGCAGTACAGTACTGTATAGAGTTCCTCACTTAACGACCAATTCATTTAACGACCTGGTCGTAGGAACGGAACTCGGTCGTTAAGTGAGGAATACCTGTATATGCATCATGTGCATGATTTTTCCATATATGGCATTAGTGGAAATATGCTTTTAGAGACTTTTTGGTTGATAAATACGTTTTGCTGTGTGAAAATCACACACACCTGGTGTGTGTGTGTGTGTTTAGGTTAGTAAATCACCCCCAATGTGTCACCTTAGTAACAGGAGTTGACTGCAAACCGTTTTATCACCAATGTGTTTTATAATACGGTACACACAAAAGAATGGTAATTTTGCTTCTGGGTGGGACAGAAGCCTGCTACATACAGTAGTTGTATAGTTAGTCAGGTTGAGAAAAGATGCATCAAGTCTGACCAATAGAGAATACATTAATAAAAAAAAAACCTAAACCCAGAGTGAATTTAGAGACCTAAAAGGGAAGGAAAATCCTGCCTGAACCCCTAGGGCAAACATATCAACCGGATACTCTTTGGATCAACAAAATCTTGCCAAGATTTTATGCTACCTCCCTACATACTCCAGCGTGGGTGAGGCTTTAGTGGGCTCATAGATAATGTGGTATCTAAACATCTAAACATGATGCTCTGCAATTTCACAGGTAGTGATGGTCCGGATGTTCGAGTCGACCAATAGTTCGACTCGAACATCGGCAGTTTGTGTGTTTGGTGAACACACGAACTGTCAGGGCATTCGGTGGGCTGTTCGCCTGCCGAGCGCCCCACAAGGCACTGCGCACCGCACAGTGCCTTGTGAAGCCCTGATTGGGTAAACCAATGCACCTGACCACAGGTCAGGTGCAAGACTTTACCCAATCACAGCACAGTGCACTGTGAGAGCCACGATTGGGCAAAGTCATGATGACTTTGCCCAATCATGGCTCACACAGCTAAGTCCTGTCAGGTACCGGACAAATGTAAACGGTTGGGCGGAGCTAGCTAGCTGTCGCCGCTAGCTCCGCCAAATTGTTTATATTTTGCCGACATCTGTCAGAATGCCATTCTGCAGCAGGAGTTCGTCACGAGGCGGTGTCGGGTTTTAAAAATTTTTTTACATTTCTATTTACTTTTAATTTTTTTATTTTTAATTACATTTATTCATCATCATCATGGACAACGCTGGACATCGTGATTGACCCTGAATTACGTCGGTGGATCCATTTTTTTTTTTTTTTAAATAAAAGACTTTTCAAAAAAATTATTTTTTCAAGTACCCCTTACTCATTCACAAGGGGGAGGCCGCATCTGGGTGCCCCTTTATTAACCCCTTCGTGACTGACGACGTACAGTGTACGTCGCCAGCATCGGGGCTGTTTAAACAGACTCCCGGTGACTTTTGCCACCGGGAGTCTGTTTAAACTTGTAGAGCCGACTGTCGGCTTTACAACAGAAGCGATCCTGGCGACTTGCCTGTCCCCAGATCGCTTCTGCGTCCCGAAGAAGGGGCCGCCCCCCCCCGCCGGACACCCCCGCCGTGCTTCCCGGGCTCCGTTGCCCCTCCTACGGGCCCGCGACCG